TCAAGTGTTGCGACCTATGGCAAACACAGGTCAATGCAGTACATGGCCAAGCCAAAGAAGGCAACTGCGTAGGAAGGAAAAAGCCAAGCGCAGTGTCCGTGCTCTGAGGAAATCTTCATTTTGATTGGATCCATAAATTTCATGTTTTAGCCCTCGTACGGCGTCCCATTGTAAGTCAATGAAAAACAGAATTTTAATGCTTTCCCTTTGAATCTTGTATGTGCGTCTACATGGTGGACTATAGTTTTCTTCCTCTAGGAAATACTGCTGGCCATATTGTTCGGGTCTACGCTGGTATAATTTGTCTCCCACTTGTCTCCCAGTTGTCTCCCAGTAAGCTCTCGATGCTCTCAGTGCTCTGGCCGCATGATTTCAGGCTTGTCTCCCATTTGTCTCCCACTTGTCTCCCTGTAAGCTCTGGATGCTCTGAGTGCTTGGCCGCATGATTTCACACTTGTCTACCATTTGTCTCCCACTTGTCTCCCACTTGTCTCCGAGTAAGCTCTCGGTGCTCTGAGTGCTCTGGCCGCATGATTTCACACTTGTCTCCCACTTGTCTCCCAGTAAGCTCTGGATGCTCTGAGTGCTCTGGCCGCATGATTTTATACTTGTGTCCCATTTGTCTCCCACTTGTCTCCCAGTAAGCTGGATGCTCTGAGTGCGCTGGCCGCATGATTTTATACTTGTCTCCCATTTGTCTCCCACTTGTCTCCCACTTGTCTCCCAGTAAGCTCTGGATGCTCTCAGTGCTCTGGCCGCATGATTTCACGCTTGTCTCCCATTTGTCTCCCACTTGTCTCCCAGTAAGCTCTGGATGCTCTCAGTGGTCTGGCCGCATGATTTCATACTTGCCTTCCATTTGTCTCCCATTTGTCCCCCACTTGTCTCCCAGTAAGCTGGATGCTCTGAGTGCTCTGGCCGCATGATTTCACACTTGTCTGCCATTTGTCTCCCATTTGTTTCCCACTTGTCTCCAGTAAGCTCTGGATGCTCTGAGTGCTCTGGCCGCATGATTTCACACTTGTCTCCCACTTGTCTCCCAGTAAGCTCTGGATGCTCTGGGTGCTCTGGCCGCATGATTTCACACTTGTCTCCCACATGTCTCGACTTGGATCCCAGTAAGCTCACTTGTCTTCCACTTGTTTCCCATGGCCTGTCTGGATGCTTTGTATCCCCGGGCTTGGCTGGATGCTGGGCCGATTAATTTTTTTGATGTGCACAAGGTCGTTGCTCTGTTGTATTTCTGGTGTTTCGAGTTTGAAAGCTGCATTGGCTGCATCGAAATACACTATTTTCACATATTTTCACCACACGCGTTGCATTGCTCGATTTGCTGTTTAGGTTGGCAGCTACTTTCGTGCGGATGATCAACGAAGCAATCGCACACTCTTACGTCAAGTGTTGCGACCTATGGCAAACACAGGTCAATGCAGTACATGGCTAAGCCAAAGAAGGCAACTGCGTAGGAAGGAAAAAGCCAAGCGCAGTGTCCGTGCTCTGAGGAAATCTTCATTTTGATTGGGTCTGCGCATTCGTGTTTACAAGGGGGGCAACATATGTCACAACCTGGATCCATAAATTTTATGTTTTAGCCCTTGTACGGCGTCCCATTGTAAAGTAAAGTCAATGAAAAACAGAATTTTAATGCTTTCCCTTTGAATCTTGTATGTGCGTCTACATGGTGGACTATAGTTTTCTTCCTCTAGGAAATACTGCTGGCCATATTGTTCGGAGATCTCATTTTTGAACATTGCTCTGTTTGGGGTCTACGCTGGTATAATTTGCTGGATAAGCTTCTCCAAGAGGCACGTGTTGGTAGTCTGGATTGTCCTGGTGCCACTTGGACAGGTATCGTCAAGCCAGACGCCAATGCCTCAAGATTGTGTACCGCTCTTTTGAGAGTTCAGAAAAGCATTCTCAGTTGTGATCAGCGCATTCTTCATCCAGACAAAGCAAGCTGTTGCATGTTCACGCACAAAAGAATCAAGCTCGTGCTGTTCTATTCTATTTTCAATCCTCAAAGGTCGTAGTGTGCGATGGTTTTTGCACAATGAATGCCGCGCGGTAGCAAGTATGAATCATTGCTTGCATTTATGCTATATAACCTGCCTCTTCTTCCTGAAGGCTGTGGGTGCCATTGATCATTTGATGAGCTTTCGGGCCGTAAGTATGTTTTCATAATCGTTTCTCCTTTTGATTGCAGGGTACTGTGTTGTGCTTCATAGAGGATAACAATGCCCATTGTTACTGACATGTTTAACTATTCCAACTATTGTTCATTATACATATATATATATATAATATATATATATATATGTAAGTGAAATTCAATCACATTGAATCTATTGGCTCTTGTCACAGAACCTGGTGCCGGCTTGGTGCGAAGCTGAAAACATCCGGCTGCTGCCAGTGCATTCGCCAGGTATTCCAGAGGCAGGGTTGAAGACCTTTCCAGTATTCCTTGTGATCACTTGCGAGACCGTTTTATATAAAAAAAAATTTGATGGGCCATCACTTTTTTCATTCTCCTCCAATGTATGAACCGGTCCAGCAGGACATGGAGAAGAATATGGAGAAAGAGGGAGAATCTATTGAAACTCAGCTTGCTGCTGAGTTAACTCCAAGCCCGTGTGGAAAGACACAATCTTCGGTGGAGTTTGAATGTCTTAATCTCCTTTCATCTCTTGAGATGATGTATTCTGGAGATCTTCCAAATGTGCCATTGGCTTCCCACCAATTAAGGAGGAAGATCCCACGAGAGATTGATGCAAAGGTGCTGGGATGGATTCTAGTCGAGTCATGAAGCAATCTTGCTGTAGTGGCCAAATTGGTGAAGAATTCATATCTCTTCAGATCAGATGGCATTCATTTGATATCACTTCTTCATCCGATCTCTTCTATTCATCGTTTTGATTTCAGGCTATGGGGGTGTCCGTGGAGGTGATCAAAGCCTTGGAGCAGAAAGTTGATCCAAGTCAGATGCCACAGGCCACCTGGTGTGCCTCTGTTTTGCAACCAAGACCACCTGGAAGTATAAAGTGTTCTTTCTTCACCATTGCTGTTGTTGTGGTGGTGATGCTGGTGGTGGTGGCCGCTGTTGCGGAGCTTCCTCTTTTTTTGTCATTGTATACTGTAGTATTCTTGCTTTGTTTGAACGCATATTGCAGAGTCAATTTTGGAAGTGCAGAGCTCTGGCAGTCTTTCAGTTCAGTAGTGATGCATGATTGTAGGAAGCTTTGGACAACCTTTGTTTTTCGCAAGTCGATGAGGTAGAACTGTAGAACACTTTTACAGTGACCATTTCAACAGAAGAGTATGAGCTCATGTGAGTTTCCAGGTGAATTCAAATGAGCTTACTCTCATGGGGCTGATGCTCACTGTGCTCACCTCAGGACCACAGACATGCAAGAAGCTGGACTGCTAGACAAGAGATTAAGTTTCCCAAGAAAATCTAGAAATGAATATCCTAGGAACAAAAATGCTACTAGGGGCTCCTGGCATCGCTACTAGGAACAAGAATGTAGGAGCAAGGCCGCTACTAGGGGCTCCTGGCCTTACTACCAGGAGCAAGGACGCTACTAGGAACAAAGCATGAAGCCAGAGCCCTTTTGCGTCCTTTCTTGGTAGCTACTACTTGGCTTTCTTAAGCCTACTCTACTCTTGCGGCCTACCCCCCGAAGCTAAAAAGATAAGCGAGAATTCAACAACACGTTCCTAAAAAGAAAGCCACAAAAACATCCAAATGCAAAGCGGCTTTGGAACCTTCCGAAAATGGTTTGTTGCTCACGGGCCTGGATATGCTCCTGCAGATGTTCATGCGGTTTGACTTCTCAACTCTTGGTAAGTTGATTCATTCGACAACCTCATGGAATCGTTGCATAGATCTAGGTCTAGGACTTGAATTCCTTTCTGCTGAAATACGTTATGTGCTGCTGCTGCTGCTGCTGCTGCTGCTGCACGCCTAGCATCTCACAGTCTCACTTGTTTTTCTTCTGTTCGGCCCGGCATGTCCTGGTTACTGTGACAGCTTGCGCTAATTGGTACCAGACTCTTTGTTTAGTTGCCAACTCACATTGTACACGTTGAATGTTTGCATGGACCAGATTTGAGGTTGGCAGCCTGCCACCAGAGATGGTGGGTTTCATGACAGCACCGTTGGCAAAGAAGCTGAAAGTTCCCATCAAGGCGAGGCTTCGTACAATGAGAGCTGCTGTTCGTTCTGGCAGTTGGTGTGCCGACGTGCATGAGCTTTATTTTAGTGTGGGTGGTTCGTGAGGTTGCCAGTACTATCTTGAAGAACTTGAAGACAGATAACTATGTTGCTGAGATCTATGCGAGCACCAGGAGAGGCACAGATTGGTTTTCGTGACCCAACTACAGTAAGGTTTCTGTGGAGAGAAAACAGACAGCAAAGGTTTTTTGCATGTTGCAAATTGTCGTTTTCGCTTGGCACACAGTTGCTCAGCAAGAGGGGATTGTGTAGAACATAAACAGAGACTTTGCAGGAGTGTTGTCGGCCAAAAGACGTCGAAGCCTGGGCGCTTATACATCCTTTGTCAATCGACATGCAATTGACTTTGCTGTATTTTTTTGCAAACTCTCCCAGCTTTTGATTGAGAAGTAGCTGAGCAAGTGGTTTGCAAAGAGACCAGCAGTGCTGAGGGAGCGGGTCCTTTTCTGCAGTCCTTTGCTACCTCTCCCAAAGCCTCTGGACCGAAGCCTCGAGATGGAAACGAAATATTTTTTGATCATTTGTCACACACATCTCACAAATAGAAACGATTTCTCTCTGGACATGTGAATACAGCAGTTTGGTTCCAGTCTTGCTTTGCTACACCAAGTAATCCCTTCCTGCTTGATTATTTGGTCCCTAACAAATAGGTCGAAAATCCTCAGTCACGGGGATGCTTTCTGACCAGGAGGGTGGCCGGCTGCAAAGAGACCGCGAGAGCTTTGAGGCCAGGTATCAGCAGCGTTAAAGCATCACTCCAACCTAATAGGGATGGCCTCCAACTCCAACCTACTAGCCATGGCCTCCAACTTACTAGCGATGGCCTCCAACCTAATAGCAATGGTCTTCAGCCTACTAGCGATGGCCTCAACCTAATACTTAATATGGTTTGGGGGCTGTACAGCGGAGATACATACCTCAACAGACTTTCATATAGACGTGTCCTGCAGGCCACAGTGGCACCCATTGAAAAGGATCTCTTGGAGTGGCTGTTCTGTGCCTAGGTTGCGATTTGTGGCGAATGGTTGTGGCGGGCTGAAGCTTCTTGGTTGCTTTGCTTGTGTGTAAAGTAAAAGGGGATCCTAAGTTTTAGGCGAAAAGGGGTCACATGCAGCTCAAAGTTGGACTTCACATGTCTCAGTTGGCGCCAGTTGAAACATGTATGTATATAGTATGACCACTGCCTTGGGCTGCCTTGGACGACTAGCAACCATTCTTTTCTCAAGGAGCAGGTGTACATGCAAGTCGTTTGTGTGGATTTTAGAGTTTCGCTGCGTGGGGAAGCAGTCTAGGGTGTTTGGTTTGGTGCGCTCTGCCCACTGGGGCAGCAGGCTGCCTTTCCTTTTGATCTGCATGGCAGGCGTTACAACAGGCATCTCTCTCTTGTCCTTGTGGGGTGGCTCTGGAATCCCTGCCCAGCGTTCGGACCTGGATCTTGGCAACCACATGCTTGTCCACAAAATGCCCAGGAGCACTGCCACCGTCTTTTCCTCCCACCGTCCTTGCCCTCAATGACAAAGTCTTCGATCTATGCTTTGAAGAAGTCATCCAACGACCAATCCCGATGCCTTCCTCAAGCCGCCCGCCTGGATCAGCCACAGCTGCTGAAGATCCTGGAGCACTCACGTGGAATTGATTTGGGAAGCTTGAGGGCTGGCGGGGCTTCATGGCTGCTTCTGACCAGTCAGAACTCCGAGCTCACTCGGACGAAGGCAGGCCATGGAAATCTATGCCCAGGAAGCGTGGGCGGTACAGTTTTGGCTCAGGCTTCCTGGACATGTCAAAGAGCAGATCGTCCAAGGACTGACCTTTTTTGGTGGGCTCTCGAAGGCGCTTTCAGTCTAGAGCAGCTGCGATCCCTGAGAGCATTTGGCGGTCACTTGACCGACGCGAAGCAGCTAAACATGAATGGAAGCAAGCAGCGAACGGTCAGGTGAAGTTGAGAAGCAAGAAGTGGATCGTGGGAATGAGGCCAATATGGCCAGGTGCGTTTGGTCTGCTTACCCTTTTGCCAGGGGGACTTGGTGTTTACAAAAGTTTGGAGCTCTAGCCAATTAGCCATTTGTACTTGCAGGAGCATACTGCTCACACCAAAGAGCCTCGAGAGCATGTAATACAAACTTCAGGTTTACTATTTTAGGGTCTTAGAGTCAAGAACGTGTGGCACAATTCCGGTCTGAAGTGCAATGCAGCACATGAAAAGGTTTTGACCAAATGAACTGTATGCACAACAGTAGCCTGCCGCATTTTTTTTGCCATATCCTTTGCTGTCGCCCAAGGCAAAGAACATACTTCTCCTATAGTTTATGTTGCCTTCGGAAGCATAGTGCGACCGAGCAAGGAGAACAGCTTCAGATCACTTCGACACGGCAATGGAAAAACATCCTAGTAGCTTCTTGTTCCTAGTAGCTACTTGCTCCTAGTAGTACGGCCAGGAGCCCCTAGTAGCGATGCACTTGTTCCTAGGACGCTTGTCTTCGAGATTGAGCGTGAAAGGAGATGATAGAGAAGCTGGCCAAAGCGCTAGATGGCGATAGTTGGAGGGTTCTTTGGGCTTCTTGGCTTAATCTCATGAGACATCCAGGTCTCCAAGTTTGGATTTTGACTGGGTACAGTTACAGAAAACCCAGACTCTGCCGTGCTTGTGTTTGGTACAGCTTCGCTCTCAGGTTTTGCCTCAGGAGATTCAGAGTTTTCTTCCAACAGACAGGCCCAATGCACGCCGCTGGCGGGTGGAAGCCTTTGTGCCCCAGGCAAGATCTGGGATTCCAAACACATCAAACTCAGCGACTTCAATCTGACAGCAATCACATGTTTGGTGTGTTTTTTTCCAGTTTGGCTGCGCATTTGCATAGAAGTTTCCATTAATGTGGGATGACTAGAATTTCCAACGCTTTGTGGGTAAGACTCCCGACCTATCCCATCTTTCTTCACGCCCAAGTTTCGTTTGACAATCCTTTGAACGTCATGGCTGGAGGTCTGTGATTGTAAGTGTTCTTGAACGTGTTGGGTCACTGGCGCCATGCGGGTCACTGGTGTATTGACTGCCAAGATGTGAAGTTTTTGGACCATGTGTTCCGTTTGCTTGTTTGACGTATGTGGCATTAATTGTTTCTGCTTTTTGAGGCAGATGTTCTGAAATGTGAGAGGCGCGAAAACTGCAAGCAGCTTGAAGATACACTTGAGTTGACTCCTCGTGCAACTAATCAAGCTTCGCACGGCTTCACTGAAGGATCAGATGCTTTCTGAGTCACATGGGCGCGAATAGTACCACTGAGACTTGGCTTTAAAGGCTACGATTGTAGACAGCAGGATTTGTTCATGCGTCCGTGCACTGCGCTATTTGCATTTCTCTCGGTCCCAAGGAATCGTTGGTTTGTAGTGTTCCTATGCTTTGCTGTGGCATTCTCAGATTGCAGTCAAGCTTTTGGCCCAACATCGTAATAGCTGCAGGAAAGGTAGGTCGCTGTCAGACGTGACTATCTGACGTGTCAAAAGGCCCTTTCTACATGGATCAGTTCGAGTGGACTTGGACAGTCTGTGAGCACTTGGGAGCAGGGTTGCAGGCCAGGTTGGGAGAGTTCACTCAATTAATGGCCCGTATTTCATAGCTTCAACTTTGGCTGGTAGCCAGTAGCGAGAACAGTAAATCTTGCACACCTCAAGCTGGCCAAGACGCTTATTATGTAGGATGTTGTTTGATTAGCACACCCTTGCATCCTCAAAGAATATATATATATATAATATATATGTATAAATATAATCGCTCACCATTTTCTGGGTGAATCATAGCCTATGTACATTGCATCATGTGCATTACAGATTGCATCCTTACTTGATGACTGAGACTTGTCGCAGCCCTTTTGAGCATCAAGAAAAGGTGCGTATGGTAGCGGAGCTGAGAAGGAGGTAACCCCTCTGGAGCTCTGATTGAAACGCCCCTAGGCCCTAGGTCACTGGGATCCCGGGTGCGAGTTCGAGCCATCGATTTGGGGCCTTTGGGACCCAAGCAGCTGAACTGGTGAATAATTGTTGTGAGCAACACTCTGTACCCAGTACATTGTGTCGAGGAGACACTGGTACAAGGAAAAGATGGATGAAGTCAGAGATATCCTTCAAGCAATAGCACAGAGTACACTTGCAACAACATCAGTAGCTGAGGCAGTGAGGAAAGCAGTTGAGGACAAGAGGTCATCAACAACAGATGATTGGTCAAAACTGATAGCAAAGCCCAACATCTTTGAGTACAAGTCGCAGGATGAAGGTCAAGGCACTTAGAGAGTGGTCATGGGTCTTTGAGAAGTATTTCAGCGCAGTTGATGAGGGCTACGTGATTGCATGAATCACAAAGACTAGTCTTTTCAGAAGCATTGTTGGACCAGGTATCTGTCTATGTCAAGAGAGGTTTGATGGCTTCAAGAATGTCAAATCCTACAGCTATGTCATTTCATCACTTGAAGAAGTTCCACAAGCAGGGGAAGTTTATGCAAAGAAAGCTGTTTGTGCTTGGAGAAACTTTCAGATTCAGACTGGAGTGGAAACAAAAGCCACAGAAAGTCAACATCAGGAGGATTCCATGCATTGAGTAGTTGTCCATTGTTCAACAGCAGCATAACACAGAAGATCATTAGCTTATCGTCGTGTGAAGCAGAACTACAGTAACTACATGCAATAGTTTCTTCAGCATCAGATGGAATCTATATCAGAGCAGTTCTGGAATTTGCTCTTGGGACAAAGGTGGACCATTACATCTTCACAGATTCATCAAGTGCGCGCCAACTTGTGACAAAGAAAGGAGTTGGAAAAGTGAGGCATTTAGATAGAAGGTTGCTATGGGTTCAGAACAGGAAAGATTTCAAGATAGTACAAGTGCCAACAAATAGCGACATGGCAGACCTCAACGCAAAGCCACTCGGAGGACAAAGAATCAGATGCTTGATGGACCTCATTCGTTACTGGCACAGCGAAGGCCAAGTGAGAGTAGGAGAATACGAGAGAAGAGAGTTTGAAGAAAAGACGAATGTTGCAGGAAAGGTCGACAAGATTGCAAGTAAGAATGGTAGCATTGGAGGGCTTGCAGCCAATGGTTAGAGAAGTATTCTTGAAAGAAGGAGACAATATAACATATATATCCAGTGTGGGTTGGAAGATATGAGATTGGAAGAGATGAAGGAATCCAATGACAATTGGACATTTTGGATCATAGTGATCATTGAAACCAAGATCATTTTCTTTGCGCCAGTAATCTCTGCATTATGGAAGCCCTACAGGCGAGTTGAAGACCGCTATTATGAGGTATGGGGTCGCACAGAAAGACGCTACACTGACACTTGGCAGTACACTGATTGGAGATCAAAGTCGCCAGGCTATTCTTAGCTATGACCTGGAATGAGATCAACGCAGGAAACTTCTTAGGAAGAAGGAGTTTGGAAGCTATGCAAGCTACAGGAGGATGGTATGAAGGACACAGAGTGACATTAGAAGCAGCAAACGAAGGAGCAAACCCATGAGGAGGACCATTGAACAGGTCATTCTCAATGGGAAAGAGAGATACCTACGTGAGAATGATGTCAGTACAGATGTGTGGTAGACTAAATTGGAAGAGTTGAGCGCGCAACATTGGAACCTACTAGGAGCAGGAAACCAAAATGCTGCATTTGGGGTTGAGGAAGAACTGAAGAGGGACAAAGAACTATTGGAAAAAACAGAATACAGAAGAGACCATCCAGGTACCAACCCAGCAGAAGTACACTCTAGGAACCCAGTTCCTGAGAGAACAGAGAACTCACAGAGAGAGGTAGAAGTGAATGAGAGAAAATGGACTAGGGTGGCAAAGTGAGCCCAAAGAGGCATTTTAGGGTCTCACATCGCCAAGAAGGAATGCGAACCATTTTCTAGGTGAATCATAGCCTATGTACATTGCATCATGTGCATTACAGATTGCGTGCTTAGTTGCTGACTGAGACTTGTCGCAGCCCTTTTGAGTAACAAGAAAAGGTGCGTAAGTAACAGTGCACATATATATATATATATGAATTCATAGATCTATATATTTTTACTTATATACTTACAGTGGGTAGTTGGTGGAGATGAGTGTTGGACTCGTGAACCCAAACGCTTCTTGCTGATGTTCGCCAGAGTAAAGTCTTGTTTGACTGTATGGTTTCCTGATGGCGAAGAATAGCTTTTGTCAGCTTGTCAGCTTTGTGATGCAGATCGGCAAAGCCTCCAGCATCGAAGAGATTCAACTCAAACTGCGAAGGCACAATCCAGTCTTGCAGATACTACGCAGATACCTTGGGTCTGTCCTATTACCTGTAACAGTCAGTAAACAATTCTTTTTATTTTTTTGGCAAAGCCTGCAACTGAACCATCATCATCCACTGTTTTTTTGGGAATAAGATAGACCCAGCAGATACTACGCAGATGCGGTTTCTGGAAGGGTGAAGCGATGCGAAACGTCACGGAAATCACTGATAGCACCTCGCGTGCTCTTGAAGCCATTGGCTCGGAATTGGAACAAATGAGGAAGATCAGGTCACTTCAACTGATCGAAAAATATCGAAAGCACCGTCACAACTCAGGTGATTTGTCAAGTTTTCTCTTGTGCAGAAGTTGCCATGTCTTCCTGGCATCCGGCAGCACGGAGATCTTCTAGGTGCAGCTCTCAAGTTTGTCTGCTATGTTGCTACACCCTTTAAACCCACCTTGCAGACGGCTGATACGTGAGAAGGGACATCCGCTCAGGTTGCTGCAGACAAATTCTCACGCTTTGAGGGTTCTGGGAAGAAGGAGACTCTGAGCACGGACGTGAAGCTTCAGACTCAGGGCGATGACGATCAAATCTTGCAGTGAAAATGCATCAGGTTCAGTTTTTGATCTAGTCCCAAGTGAACATTTGGTGCAACTGACATTTGTAGAAGCTGGTTTGTTGATCGACACCTCGAAGAAGAACTCAGAGACTGGAATTATGGCTTCAGGAGACTCAGCGTGGAAGCTGGATCTTCATCTATGCCTCTTAAAAGCACGAAACAGCTCAGTGGATTCGGAATCTCTGTCTTATTCTAGCTTTTTCAAGTACTGGCCCAGTGCTGTTTCACTGTTTAGTTGATCTCAGACAAGCAACCCTGATAACAGCTTGAGGCGTCGCTAGCTCAGCTCACTCACTAGGATCTGCTTCATTGCGAGATCAAGGCAAGATGGAGAAGATGATCAAGATGGAGAAAAAGAAAAGAAGCTAAGGCCCGATGAGGACTTCAATGGGTTTCTTTCTTGCAACAGCATCTAGGTGTGCAGGCTTTTGTGGCTGAGAGAAACTTCTGCATAATTTGGAGGACGGAGAACCAAAAGAAGAATCCAAGGCACAGAAGCTTTGTCACGTTTAAAGTGACGTTATTGACATGGTTCCTTGACGAATGTGCGGGAGGACGCTTTCGAGCTGCTTGCTGACTTAGAGAGCCCTTGGCCCTACCTTTCAAAAGCGGAAGTGCACCTCAGTGGAATCTCCGCGGGTGGCACTGCCCTGCCTTTTGTAACTTTGTTTGCGTGGTGATTCTTCGGGTTGCCAGGTCGCCACTGGCCTTGGAAGATGAACATGGGACAAAGACTTCAGGCCAGATGCTTTTGTTTTTATATCTTCCTCGAACAGGAGGCAAATGCGTCAGTGAGTGGAAGAACTTCACCCATTGATTGATCGCCACTAGATTGAGCTTGATCACTTTCAAGCGCTTCAAACATTTTATAAAGTATTTCAATCTAACAATGTTTTCCTTACCTACTTTCATCCAATTCCGTGAGGAAGCAGCGGTTGAATCCAAAGCTGGTTCTGAAATAGAATACGAAGATGTGACTTCGACTGTGGCCAAGCTTCAAGAAGCTTGGCTCTGTTTGGAGCATCAGGGCCAAAGACTGTAGTTTTAATATGTGCCAGGGTACTGCGAAAGAAGCATCGAGGCTTTCTCATATACTTTTGGAAAAGTAGCCCATCCTGGAGGACAGCTTCTTTCCTTTGCTTCTAGTTCAGTGAAAGTTGCTTGTCCTGCTGCCAGGCTGCCAGTCCAATCTTCATCTGCCAAGAAATTAGTCATACAATGTAAATCAAAAGCTTTGAAGACAGGTTGAGGCAGGTGGGAGTAAGTGGAATTGAGTGGGACTATGAAGTCCTCTCCAAAAACGCTGGATTACATGCGCTCCTCCGTTGGAAAGACACACACACACACAAAGTTCTGAAATGTTGCAGATGCAGCCCGAGGGAATAAGCTGTAGTGACTACAGTCTGGAATCATTGAGAGAGAGTACTCATATGCCAGGGGGGCATAGGGAAAGACTGCTGAAATGTGACCAAGTGCTGTGTCTAAGGATGATTTGCAGCTTTTGCAGCTGTCAGACCGTTCAGACCGTTTTGCCAGCCTTGGCATGAATCTCGCAGTGGTTGCCCGTGTGGCGAGTACTACAGACAGCGAGACCGCCGGAATGCTTACAGAATGTTTTGTCGGGAAAGAGGACTGGAGCAAAGGCATTTTAGACTTTGCTATGTTTGTGAAACAGACACCGAGTCACTGTCGCAGAGTTATGCCTTGCAGGGCTTGGTCTCGAACTTCTCCGTTGCCAGCCTGGTATCTATCTTGAGCTGCATGTGTGAGTTGGAGGAGAAGTCAAGGAGGCAAGAACTTGTGACAGTCGTTAGCTATTGTTAGCACTAAGGCTATGATGATCTATCCACATGTCGTGGTATTGACTTCTTGCGCGTGAGAGCATGAGGTTCAATAATTCGGACTCACCTGTCACGGTGCACAGGAGGGCTTGGCAGGGTGGAGGGTCCAGGGATCAAGAATTCCTTTGTTTGGCCATGGTATTGATGTTGAGGGTAACTGAGAGTAACATTGAGCTCAGATTTCTTTCCCAACACAAGAGCTCACAATTCAGTCAACACAGATAGATATTTTGTTATTTTTTGCTATGACAGACGGAGTCGTCGAAGGACGAGGATTGTGCCGCTAAGCGACACAGCTGCAGGACTTGGCTGCCATTGGTGATAAACGATCTGTTGCGCCGCGGTGCTTTGAGACCCAGGTCGGGCCTCAAAGCGATGCTCTAAAATTCTGTGAGATGCCTTTAGTTCTTCAATGAGCACTGGGCACTGGAGTCCCTGGCTAGTCCTTTCATATCGTTATGTGTGCCTACACATCAACAGACCATGCAAAAGACAGTGAGACAGAAATCCTTTCAACAGAAGGAAAGATCCTGAGGTTTGGTATGGGTAGAGTTGGTAGAGTGATTCTTCTGTGCCTTCCTTCCAGGCACGCTCTTGTGTTGCTAGCCTCAATGAAGAACGCCAAAGAAGCGTTCACAGGCACGCTTTGCGGGTCGCTTTTCCACATCGACTCTTATGTACTAGTAGAGCTGACAGGGTAACCATCCGCTTTTGTCTTTCTGGCCGAAAATGCAACGCTGCCTGCCAAAGCATAAGGTAAGCGAGTGGAGACAGTGCTGGAGACCGCGGCAGTGGCGCTGGATACCAAAGAGGCAACAGTGGTTCGTCTTTTTTGCCAATCCTTTCTTGTTTACTGTTAGTATGATGCATTGGAGGTGAGGGCTTGTGCAGGGGCTTCCCTCCTTCCCTCCTTCCCTGCTTCCTACCCTTTTCCACTGGTCATCTAAAAGATTGACCCACTATCAATTGATTGGAATATTAGCTCAGCTCACTTTTTTGCTTCTTCAATATATTGAAGTGTAATTGGTGGATGGGGATGGATTGGCCAATGCTCTTGGAGGGAAGCAATGTTGACCCACAGCTTTTTGCCGGAACAAAGACTGTGGTGCTCTCACCAACCTGATGTTATTTACTTCTCACTCTCCACCCTCCACCAGTCTGACAATTCCATCTTGGATTTTCTTAGCATTCTCTTGCTTCAGGCCACCCTGCTAACACCCTCAGAGATGCTTCCAGCTTTCGAAGCATTAGCGGAGTTGCGGGAGGAGAGCTCAAGGCCACTGAGAAATGAAGGGATATGACGCATGTGAGGTGGAGACTCTTTTGATGGTGACAGTGGTACGGTTAAGTTTCCCTAGACATCTAGGAACTAAACGATTAGTGCGCGCTTCTTCAAGGGAGCTCCGGGTAGCTTCCTTGAAGAAGCGTGAGCTATCCTACGTCCTGATACTAGTAGCGAACAAGTTTATCCTACTTCTTAAGCAAGTAGGCGCTACTTAATTAAGCATTAGGATGGCAGAGGGCCGAGTGGGCTTTAGACAAAGTGTGTCTGGTGAGTTAGCTGTTTTGTATTTTTCCCCAAACAGTTTACTGTTGGGGTTCTATCTTAGAAAGAAAAGAGCTGGCCACACTCACTGGCCGCGCCCCTGAACTCTGTCAACTCTGTGGCTGGGCTCTGTGGCTGGGCCTTGTCCTCCCCTTGTCCTCCTCTTGGCCGCGCCCCTGAACTCTGTCAACTCTGTGGCTGGGCTGTGTGGCTGGGCTCTGTGTCCACGCCTTGTCCTCCTCTTGTCCTTGTTGTCCTCCTCTTGTCCTCCTCTTGGCCGCGCCCCTGAACTCTGTCAA